TACGATCTGGCCACGCGATTGGAGAACTCTGACGCGTGCGATCTAGCCACGCGATTGGAGAATTCTAACGTGTGCGATCTGCGATCTGGCCATAAGATATCCGAAGCAGAAGCAAGCTTGAGATCTGAGCACACCATCAGGGAACTTGGATGCAGGTTTGAGAATCGGACCTGTATGGGCCACCAAACTGTTGACGCTTGATTTTGTATGCCAAAGACTATCACGTGAGAAGCGCTAAGTGGACTTAGGAATCACACGTGATGGATCCATGAGATTTGAATATGGAACTGAGATTATATATGTTGTAGAAAACATAAATAATAGGCTGACAAGAGAGGTTTTTATAGTGGTTCGGATGCTCAAACAAGTGACTTCTACATCCACTGTTATTTTATTAATCTCTGACTATTTCTATGATACTGCCTGTAAGGCATACAAAGATGAAGAAAAACAATGTTTACAGAGAGAAAGAATTGAGCCCAAACTATGGTTAGCTCTCATATGCCCAACCCCCCTCTTCGGGAAGAGAAATGCTAATTTATACTCTTAAACACTCAATGTAATGAGTATTTTGCAAGTTGCCTTGACACATGGAAGGCTCTCGTCCATTCATTTCTTGAAAGGAGATAGGGTTGGTAAGAATATCTTTGAGGAGATATGGGATTGGCAGCTAGTACAGAAAGACATTTATTAGGCTGACATAAGCTTGACTTTTGAGGCATAACACAATCAAACTTGAATAAAAAATAAATTCACACTCTCAAAAATGCAAACCACCACCCCTTCACTTCTCAATCTTTTCTCCATCTCTTTCTTCCTCGTCCTCTCCATCTTCACTCCCCAAGCTCTTTCTCAATCAAACAATGAATGCACCACCGCCTTTTCCTCCTCCTGCAACGATAAAGTATCAGCTTTGCCGCTCAAGATCATCGCCATTATTACAATCTTAATCACCAGTTTGATCGACGTTTCTGCGCCACTTTTCACTCATTCGGTCAAAGCTCTCCACCCTGATCGAAATTTGTTCGTTGTTGTGAAGTCTTTTGCCGCCGGGATCATTCTGGCAACTGGGTTCATGCACGTGTTGCCAGACTCTTTTGACATGTTGTCGTCAAGTTGCTTGGAGGATAATCCATGGCATAAGTTTCCTTTTACGAGGTTCGTGGTGATGTTGTCTGTGATTGTGACGCTCATGGTGGACTCTTTGGCGACGAGTATTTATAGCCAGAAGTGTAATGCTGGTGGTGGTGTCCTTATTCCGGAGGGTGAAAGGGACAAAGAGCTAGCGGCAGCACCTCCGAGCTTCGGACATATGCATGGCCACAGCCACCATCTTGATCAAACACAGACGTCAGGGAGTGTTGTTTCCCAACTAATGCAGAATCGTGTTATTGCTATGGTAATGTTTTATTTTTTTAGTAGACATGTCAATGGTTATCCAAAAAATAGTTAAATTATCTCTTTTCGTCAAACACATAGTGGAATATAGAATTAGAACCTAAATACAATTTTTAATTTTTGAAAACAAATTTAGTATAAATGGTTCATGCTTTTTAAATAGTTTCAAATACAATACTAAACGTGACATTATATATATATATATATAATATATATATATATATATAATATATATATATATATATATATAATGTCCCGTATTTGTATAAATGAGTTCAAATGCTTTTTAAATAGTTTCAAGATACAATACTAAAACGTGACATTATATAATATATATATATATATATATTATATATATATTATATATTTTTTTTTTTTTTTTTTTTTTTTTTTTTTTTTTTTTATCATCAGTAAATATGAATGTGATTAGAAATTATGGCACTTGTATTTAGTCAATTGTTTTGTTTTGTTGAATTGATTTAATTAATAGTAAAGTTAAACCAAAGTTGTTGGATGCAGGTATTAGAATTGGGAATTGTAGTACATTCAATTGTGATAGGGCTTTCCCTTGGAGCCTCAAACAATACTTGCAGCATTAAAGGTCTTATGGTAGCTCTTTCCTTCCACCGAATGTTTGAAGGAATAGGCCTCGGTGGTTGCATTCTCCAGGTATAATTTCTTTTAAAATACAAATCTTGTTTACTGACCTTAGATGATAGTTTCCTATCATCAAAAAATTGTGAAAATGAAAAATTAATCAAACTTTTTTGTATTAAAAATTAAAAATTTTGTAGTTTATAGCTAACCAATACTTGTCAAATCCGTCTAACAATAAAAGATAAAAATCCCAGTTAAACTTTCAAACATTTAAAAAATCATTGAACACCATCTAATTATTATTATTTTAAATGTAGACATAGTTGAAAATTTTTATGTACATAAATATATAGCCCATCTCTTGCGAAGGTCAATATATCACTAACATATAAATCTCATTAGATGGTGTTATTAATAACGGTTTACAAACACTAACACTAAAAAAAATATCTAAGTTTTTATGACATAGAATAACCAAAGCCCAAATTTTGAAACAAATACTTATATCAAAACCTAAGAATTTTTTTCATATATATTTATATAGGCTTTGACTATCATACAACACGGTACAAATGGAAATTATAAGTTTTACATTACAAGTTTACAAATTTTACATTAATATCTTGATATAGCGTTGTATTATAGCAAAACCCTAGTTATATATTTCTTCTTACAAATTTCCACTTTCTCTACTATGTATCAACCAGGCTGAGTACAAGCTATTCAAGAAGATGGTAATGGTGTTCTTCTTCGCCGTAACAACGTCGTTCGGCATTGCCCTAGGGCTCGCATTGTCAAACGCATACAAAGAGAACAGTCCAACAGCATTGATCTCAGTAGGGTTGTTGAATGCTTCATCAGCCGGGCTTCTAATCTACATGGCTCTAGTTGATCTTCTTGCTGCTGACTTCATGAGCCAAAAGTTGCAGGGAAGCATCAAGCTTCAACTTAAATCTTATGCTGCTGTTCTTCTTGGTGCTGGTGGCATATCCCTAATGGCAAAATGGGCTTGAGATTTTGATTGTATCATAATGTAATAAATTTTGTTTTCCTTGTGTTTTTGTCGTCGTCGTAGAATACTGTTAAACTTAAATCTTAATGTTGAACCTTTACACTTCGTATAATGTTGTTAAAGTTAAATCTTAACATTGAACCTTTAAATCGAATAGTTTTGTTAAACTTAAATCTTAATATATATTTATTTACTGGTGTAATATGCCATATAATATTCTTATCCACTGTATCTTTTTAATTAAAAAGTTAAAATAATAAGTCAAACAAAATAGCAAGATGAACATTCTGTATTTTTTATGTTTTTTATTTTCTGTCTTTTTCCTCCATTGCCGTCTAAAAGAAAATGATATATGATCAAATAGAATTCTTCGGAACTCAACAGATTTTGACTCACAATTTCCACGATTAAACCCTCATACGTTTGGCAAGTTTATGATCAAAAATAAAAAGATACATCACACAAAATATGTAGAATAATACTCTTCTCAAATGACATCCCAAGTTTACTATTCTAATTGATGTGTGTTCTTTTATGTGATTTTAATGTGTAATAAGGAGTTGAGGTATTAAATGATATGTCACCGCCACATGCAAATATGCAATGACACATCATTTAGGAATTCATTTGGGTTACATATTAAATTTCCTAAGTGTTGAAGCCTGCTTTTTCTCATATCCAAATTCTAGTTATATAACGTCGTAAAATATTAAAGACAAAATTTCATAGTATTCAATAAGAACAAATTTAAATGGGTTTTTTATGTGTATATATATATATGTTATTGAAAGATGATAAATATGTGAAATATATATAGAATATGGATAATATTTCATATATAAACTAATTCGCTCATAAAAACAGATAAATTTCAAGATGATTAAATGATTTTAAATTAAAAATAAATTAAATGAATAAATGAGACTACATGACAATCATGTAGGATTGTCATATCAGTCTATGGGAATAATTTATATATATAGAATTACACATGGAATAATTCTCTAGTCAAAACACACTCATAATTAATTAAAACTCAAGCCAAATGCATGGAGCCACAAGCATTACACACTCGGCAAACAATTATTAATATATGTTTAAACCCCTCTAAAATAGCAAAAAGATATGGTTATCAGCAAAATTCATGATAAATTTGAATTAAAAATAAAGGGAAAATGGTGATTGGCTAATAATGTTCATAAATTGTTGGATAGGAAGAAACAATTATTAATAATATATGTTTAAATCCCTCTAAAATAGCGAAAAGATATGGTTATCAGCAAAATTCATGATAAATTTGAATTAAAAATAAAGGGAAAATGGTGATTGGCTAATAATGTTCATAAATTGTTGGATAGGAAGAAACAATTATTAATAATATATGTTTAAATCCCTCTAAAATAGCGAAAAGATATGGTTATCAGCAAAATTCATGATAAATTTGAATTAAAAATAAAGGGAAAATGGTGATTGGCTAATAATGTTCATAAATTGTTGGATAGGAAGAAACAATTATTAATAATATATGTTTAAATCCCTCTAAAATAGCGAAAAGATATGGTTATCAGCAAAATTCATGATAAATTTGAATTAAAAATAAAGGGAAAATGGTGATTGGCTAATAATGTTCATAAATTGTTGGATAGGAAGAAACAATTATTAATAATATATGTTTAAATCCCTTTAAAATAGCGAAAAGATATGGTTATCAGCAAAATTCATGATAAATTTGAATTAAAAATAAAGGGAAAATGGTGATTGGCTAATAATGTTCATAAATTGTTGGATAGGAAGAAACAATTATTAATAATATATGTTTAAATCCCTTTAAAATAGCGAAAAGATATGGTTATCAGCAAAATTCATGATAAATTTGAATTAAAAATAAAGGGAAAATGGTGATTGGCTAATGTTCATAAATTGTTGGATAGGAAGAAAGTATTTAGTGGTTGGTAATTAACTTGGTATTAGGTGCGCTTGGCCACTCTCAAATATGGCCACCACCACCCCTTCACTTCTCAATCATTTCTCCATCTCCTTCTTCCTCATCCTCTCCATCTTCACTCCCCAAGCTCTTTCTCAATCAAACAATGAATGCACCACCGCCTCCTCCTCCTCCTGCAACGATAAAGCTGCAGCTTTGCCGCTCAAGATCATCGCCATCGTTACAATCTTAATCACCAGCTTGATCGGCGTTTCTGCGCCACTTTTCACTCGTTCGGTCAAAGCTCTCCACCCTGATCGGAATTTGTTCGTTGTTGTGAAGTCTTTTGCCGCCGGGATCATTCTGGCGACCGGGTTCATGCACGTGCTGCCAGACTCTTTTGACATGTTGTCGTCAAGTTGTTTGGAGGATAATCCATGGCATAAGTTTCCTTTTACGGGGTTCGTGGCGATGTTGTCTGCGATTGTGACGCTCATGGTGGACTCTTTGGCGACGAGTATTTATAGCCAGAAGTGTAATACTGGTGGTGGTGTCCTTATTCCGGAGGGTGAAAGGGACGAAGAGCTGGCGGCAGCACCTCCGAGCTTCGGACATATGCATGGCCACAGCCACCATCTTGATCAAACAAAGACAGCAGGGAGTGTTGGTTCCCAGCTGATGCGGTATGGTGTTATAGCTATGGTAATGTTTTACTTTTTTCAGTACACATATCAAATGGGTTACCAATAAAATATGCTTAATTATCTCTTTAGGTCAAACACATAGTGAAATATAGAATTAGAACTTAAATACAATTTTTTTATTTTTGAAAACAAATTTAGTAGAAATGAGTTAAAATGCTTTTTTAAATTGTTTTAAGATACAATACTAAAAAGTAACATTATCTTGTTATTGTCATGGTATATTTTTTTAAGTAGACAAATAGAATGAACTATGTATTAACAAGTTAGTCATACGTATAGTATGTATAGATAAGGTTAGAATATAAAAAGAAGGAATAAAATGATCTAATGTTCAATATCAAATACAATTATTTGTTTTTCAAAATAAGAGATTCAAAAAAATCCTATGAAAACATGTTTGATAGAAATGAATTAAAATATCTGTTTCTTAATTCTTTAAACTTTTTAATTCGGAAAAAAAAAAAAAAAAAGTTAAGTATTATATCAAACACGTTTTAAAATATCAAAAATTTAACATACAACTAAAAAATTTGGACTCAATTTTAGTTTCTCAAAATTATTTTTAAATCACAGATCCATCAAACCTAAAAAACTATCACAATTTTGTTTTATCATCAGTAAATAAGGATGTAGTCAATTGATTTGATTAATGGTGAAGATGACATGTGTTACATTGTTTATATATTTAGGTATTAGAATTGGGAATTGTAGTACATTCAATTGTGATAGGGCTTTCCCTTGGAGCCTCAAACAATACTTGCAGCATTAAAGGTCTTATTGCAGCTCTTTGCTTCCACCAAATGTTTGAAGGAATGGGCCTTGGTGGTTGCATTCTCCAGGTATAATTTCTTTTAAAATACAAATCTTGTTAATCAACCTTAGATGATAGTTTCCTATCATCAAAAAATTGTAAAAATGAAAAATTAATCAAACTTTTTCGTATTAAAAACTATAAATTTTGTGGTTTACAGCTAACTAATACTCGTCAAGTCCGTCTAACAATAAAAGATATTTAAGTTTTTATGACGTTGAATAACCGAAGCCCAAATTTTGAAACAAAAACTTATATCAAAACCCAAGAATTTTTTTCATATAAATTTATATAGGCTTTGACTATCATACAACACAGTACATATGGAAATTATAAGTTTTACATTACGAGTTCACAAATTTTACATTAATGTCTTGATACAATGTTGTACTATAGCAAAACTCTAGTTATATATTTTTTCTTACAAATTTCCACTTTCTCTACTATGTAACAATCAGGCTGAGTACAAGCTATTCAAGAAGATGGTAATGGTGTTCTTCTTCGCCGTAACAACGCCGTTCGGCATTGCCCTAGGGATCGCATTGTCAAACACATACAAAGAGAACAGTCCAATAGCATTGATCTCAGTAGGGTTGTTGAATGCTTCATCAGCCGGGCTTCTAATCTATATGGCTCTAGTTGATCTTCTTGCTGCTGACTTCATGGGCCAAAAGTTGCAAGGAAGCATCAGGCTTCAGCTTAAATCTTATGTTGCTGTTCTTCTTGGTGCTGGTGGCATGTCTCTTTTGGCAAAATGGGCTTGAAATTTTTTTTTTTTATATGACAAATACGTGGAATATATATAGAATAAGGATAATACTTCATATATAAACTAGCTCGCTCATACAAACTGATGCGTTTCAAGATGATTGGATAATTTTAAATTAAAAATAAATTAAATAAATAAAAGAGATTATATGGCAAACATGCAGGATTGTTACATTAGTTTGTAAGAAATAATTTGTATATGTAACATTACACTGAATAATTCTCTAATCAAAACATCTTGATATTAATTTATTAGAATCATATATATATACCATTAGATCAATTATTAATATATGTTTAACTTGGTTATGACATGTAAAATGAAAGTCTCATATTTCAACAGGAATCAAAGAAATAATTTCGGTGAATTTTTAAGAAGTTAAACTTAAATCTTAACGTTGAACCTTTACTTAAAAGCTTAAGGTTTTTTTTTTTTTTTTTTTTTTTTTTTTTTTTTTTTGTATAATGTTAAAGTTTTAGCAATGAATTTTTGGTTTTCTTTGTTTCATTTTTCCGATTCTTAATTAAATACTATAATTAATCCCAAAAATCATAATTATAATGCATCTATCTCTTATTTTATAAGTTATCAAAAGTTATTATTTTATATTATTGGTTTACAAAATAGGAGTTTTGGAGTATTCTTAGAGTAAATGAAGAATTCAAATAGCAATCCAAAAACTCAATTGTCCTATAAAAACTCTTATGTCTTTGTTTTTTTCGAATAAGGATAGGATCATTTTCTCGTCTTATTTTTCTTTATATTTTTATTATAATTCACCATATATATTTTTTTTTTTCTGATTAGCCATAAATCTCATTTCCTTTCTATTTTTGAGTTGGAGAAGAAAAATTATGACAAGTATATGTATTTTATTTTTATTTGTTTTTTAAAAGGCAAATGGAAAGTAATTAACTAGTATTTTTTTTTTTTTTTTTTGTTTTCCATGGGCTTCCTAAATAATAAAAGCCCAATTTCTCTTTTATCAATTTCGGCCCAATTTATTTATTTTTTATTTTTTAAATATAAAAAATCCAAACAATATAGTTGGTAAAAACAATTCCAATTTTTTTATTTGCCAATCATTTAATCTGACATGTACCATAATAGAAGATGAACATGGCCTCTCCAACTTACACATTTCTCAATCATTATTTAATTGCTTCATTTAACTCTAATTTAATTATTTTAATTAGTTGTGCCGCCTGCCTACTTATGAAAATGACAAAATTTCCCAAGAGTAATATTACACATACATCATTTTCATACAATATTTCTCATACAACATTATGTGGCAAGATATGATTGACTAATTTAAAGTTAAAATTAAACTTTCACCCAATCACATCTTGCCACATAATGTTGTATGAGAAATGTTGTATGGGAATGATGTATGTGTAGTATTATTCAATTTCCCAATTGGTGCATTATTTTAGGTCATGGAAGGTGCATCTCTTTTGACCTTTTGTGACTATATAATTAATAGATAATTAAGTTAATATAAATGTGGATTAGGTTGTGGATACTAAGATTATCTGAGAAAAAAACTAGCAAAAATAACTAAAACCCATTAATTAGCGGCATATAATGTACCTTCTCATATATGTGGATACTAAAAAAAAAAAAATTACCCTTGTGGTCGGAGTGGGGTTAACTATCCCCAAAGGTATTATCTTTGAGTCATGGAAAAGGTAATTATCGGGTTTACTAAAAAAAAAATTAAAATTAAAATATAATATTTATCTAATTAGAAATAGAGATTCCTCATTCGATTTTGTTTGTAAAAAAATAAAATCAATAACACATCTATCTATATTTTAACCAAATTCTAGAAAAGATTAATAAAAAAATTTCTTTCCAATAATTTATCTTTAACCTTTGAAAAGTTAAATAACAAGATGAAACTATCCCTAGAATGTGAAGAATTTATTTTGCTTTTTTTTTTTTTTTTTTTTGTATTTATTTCTCTAAATTGTAACATATAAATAAATTTGGTTGGGGAATGCAATTATGGGAGCCTTGTCTCTATCTTCAATACTTGTTTTGTGTTGAATATTGTAACTAATTAAACTACCAACCATACCCACTCTACCAAAAAAATATTTATTCACAAATTAGGCCATCTATATCAACAAAAACATTTTTATATTTTTTATTTCAAGAAAGCATATATCAAAATTTAAAATGGTTAATTAATTCAATATAAAAAGTGTTAAATGGTTGAAGGAATATGGAAAGTTAACAACCTATAAAGATATACTTTCATGAAGAAAAAAATTTGGTTTTTGGTTAAATAAATGTTTTTTTTTTTTTTAGTTTTAAATTACCAAAAATGTTATAATATATAAGACAAAATCAAAAAAAATTATTAAATAGAACGATAATATTTTTAAAATTTTAACACTTCAAATAAACTCAAATTTTAAGCTTCTCAATGAGGGCGTAAAACAACTTATTAAATAACTTATAAACTCTTTTCTCCATTGCTACCAAACAATACAAAAGTTTTGAAAAAGAGTTTGTGATATTAAAAAAGTAAATTTTAAGTAATAAAATTATAATACTTTTTTAAATAATGATGTTTTGATGATTATAAATATTAATTAATTAATGTCAATTATATAAATGACAAATTAATTGTCTTGATAATGTAATTAATAATTAATTAATTAATTGGAACTTTTTAAATGAAGAAATAAAACGTTTAATTTGGTGTCAATGCGAAGAATACCTACCACCGAATTGGTGATTGAGACATCTCAATTATTTGGAATAAAAACAAAGACGGGATGAAAATCATTTCCAACCCATTCTATTAAAAAATAACATCCCCACCCCCCAAAGTTTTAGAAATATTTATATTATCCCCATTTTTTGAAATTTAGACGTTAAAATTTAATCATGAATTTGTAATAATATTAGATTAGGTTTTTGGTCTTCATAATATTTATACTTGTGAGGTGAAAGGACAGGATTTCCCTTTTTATAATTAAGTTTTAAGGAAAATAATATAATCATAGACGGTAATGCATCGAATTTATGCATCGAATATCGTGATAAAATCCTAATTGTTAATTAATTTTAACTTATTATTAATCAACGGTTAGGATTTTACCAAGTTATTTGGTGTATAAATTTGATGCACTACTTCGGTAACTGTAGCATTACTCAAGTTTTAATGATTGAATTGAAAAAGAGTAATGAGGGTAATATAGACATTTCTTTAATCAAGGGGTCAAATAAGTCCAATTCTAATAAAGTAATTGCACCACATATTCACATTAATAAGTTATTAAAAAATCTTATCAACTCTCAACGGTAGAAAGTATCTTAGTGAAGACTTTCTCTTAATGTTATTTGTTGTCTAGTAAACTACATGATATTTGGTTTGAAAAACGAAAACTTGTGTTGTCTGTTGTTTCAATGAATGACTTTCTCTTACTGTCGGTTAGTAATCTATTGATATTTATTTGTAAAAGGGGAAGGGGTTAATTCTAGGGACAATATTCCTAACCTTATAATTTTTTTTTATAATTCTAACGTGATGTCTTACGATTAATTTTTTATGAATTTTTTTATCTAATCAATTATAAATAATTATATCGAGATTACGAAAGAAAGTTTATAAAATTAAATTATAAATCAATTTTTATTGTAATTCTAATAGATTGATAATAGAAATTAAAGGATTTTATATTAATATAGACTTATTATTTTTAGTTGAATTTATGATATTTACAAAATATGAGTTTTTTTTTTGTATGGTAATGCTCTCTTCTCTAATATTAGAGACTTTTAAATATAAAAAAAATTGAGAGATATTCTCCAATATCCCATCATCTTTTTATTTTTTAAATGCAAGAGAATAATTTATATATTATTTTATTTAATGGGTAACAAAAGCCAAAGCCAAAGCCAAAAATTTGTACTACAATTGGTAGAAATTAGAATTGTTGGCATCATTCTCCAAAAAAAAAAAAATTCTTAATAATAAAAAATAAAATATTATCTCGAAAAAGATGAAAGAGGTTGGTAATCATTATTGTCTGATTATCAACTTTAATCAGTACATTTGCAGAGTTTTTTATATTATGTCAATAAAATAATTAATAATTAATTAAATTGTAGGCTTTGAGAAAGTCAAGAGAGACAAGTACCCATGTGCATAGGTTTCTTAAACCAGGCTTTCTATTCAGAATCTTGATTACTGTTTTAATGGCTTTTTTTTTTTTTTTTTTCCTTGGATTAAAGAAGTTTTATATGATTTATCATTGAATATATAAGGTTTATCTACAAATTAAAATACAATTGCTTTAAATAAGAAATTCTTATTTGATACAAATTAAAAAGATGAAGAATCAATTTTGAGGGTTTCAATTTCTGCTCAAATATTCACATTTAAGAGCTAATAAAAATACCTAATTTTTATTTTTTATGAAGAGGTGTTCGAATTGCTTGATACATCTTAACTAATCTTCGCAGATCTATTGATTACCTTAAAAATTATATTTTAGGGTAAACTACAATATGATAAGTGATCTAAGATAGTTCGAACCCAAAAAGATAATAAATAGAACAAACCTTCTTGACCGTCATACCGATGCCTTAGGGTTAAAACCTAATATATGATACTATAATTTCTAATCAAGAATACTAATTTGATAATGAAGTAGAGCTTATATTACCATAAATAATTCAAGAAATTCTTTAAAAATTGGGTGACAAATCTAATATCTAACCAAATAATGCTACGTTATATTTAAAAATTTGTCAAAGTAAGATTATGAATCATGTTGTAATACAGTAAGAGCCCGATAAGAAATTAAGCGTGTTTCTCTTGTTCTAATATAACATTCTCCCGATGATGGGTTATGATATTTTTGACATACTGACCTTAGTTTTGTCAGGAACTTACTAAATACCATTAGATTATTCATTTAGACTATTTGATATTTTACGGATGATTCAATGATATTTAAGTATAGTCTAATAAAA